TCTTTCGCCACTCTCATACGCTTCCTTGCACCAACAGATGATGATTTAGAAGTTGCATCAACATTATATTTCAAAGAAAATGCAGTGAGTTTGTCCTTAGCCTTGTGTATGTCCGAAACTGTTTGCTTTTTAACACCATACTCATCACAAACTCTAGACACTGAAGCACCAGCCTCTAACTTCCTTAGAAGTTCCAGTTTCTGGTTCACAGAAAGGGGTCACATACTTCCTCTTCAGCGTTTTACTCCCCCTTGAAGACATGATGTAAAATACAAGGCTGAAAGATGCCTAATCACTGAAATATCAACAAAAATTGCAGGGCATCACAACACTGATACTCAAATATGGCGCTAGGTCAACAATGACTGGCGGTCTTGTGCACGTGAGTCACGCACACAGGACCGCGGCGTGACCCATCTATCGGACAATCCCAGAACCAGATTTTTGGCACGGACAGTCCCTCGCTTAGTTCAGACTTCGTCCGATTTATCCGATATCCGGATTAAAGGGGTCCGAATTAACGAGGGTCGACTGTATTTCATTCTTGACGTTGACATGTTAGAAGAAGAAATTCCTGACGAGGTCACAATTAGGTTGGCTATTTCCAAATTAACAAAAAGGAGGAAATTTTTTAAATTTTTTTTGTGTCCCCTATTTTTTAACCTAAATTAAGCATGTTTAATGAGGAGTTGAAAATATATAAAAACTTGTATAAAATATACAAAATATACTTAGAAATATTGTTGATTTGTCAAATATCACTATAATGTGATGAATGCTATTTTGAGGCCATTTTCCTAATTTTTATTTTTTTTAATTTACTGTATATATTACATACATGCATTCATACAGTACAGTGGTCCCTCGGTTAACGAGCACAATTCGTTCCTGAAGGTTGCTCGTTAACCGAAAAATTCGTTAGCCGAAACCATTGTTTCAATCGGTTTTTGGGTAATTGGTTCCAGCTCACCGAAAATTACATACAAACTAAAAATAAATGCAGTAAAGTACACTTACTTTGAGAGGTGTGCATGTAGAAGGCTCCTGGTTGATGATGGTGGGAATTAGAATGGGGGTGGAGGAGAAGGGAGAAGAGAAGGCATTGGGGTGGAAGAGAAGTCACCCCATGGCGCCATTTCACCCATAAAATTTTAGTTCACTTGGTGTAATTCAAGATTATTTTCTTTAAATCAACACTGCACTGTGCTATATATTATCAATATGTAAAATATATTTCAAAATGGCCAATAATTTGACTGGAAACACAGAAGAAAAGCATTTATGTTGAAGAGTCTCAAACAAGATGTTCCTTCTTCTGAACCTGTAAACAAACTGACGCCAAGCTTGGTGTGTTGAGTGGCTGTTTGGCGTGCAAAAAACTAGTTTCCTGCACTTCAATTATGATAAAAAATTGTTAAAATGACTAAAAAAATTAATATAAAACTTTTCAAATTATTGAATAGTACAACCTTCTTGATATTACCTAAAATGGTAAGGAATTTAAGCCCTAAAACCGATTACTGTATTGGCGGACTAATAGTACAGTTGAAGGGCAGCCAAATGCTGGTGAAAACATGTTGGGAAAAATTCATAAGGAATTCGTTAATCGAGGGTTTGCTCGTTAACCGAAGTGAAGAATCTTATGGAAGGTAATTCGTTAACCGAGGCGCTCGTTAACCGAGGGATCACTGTACAAATAAAGAACTGAAAGAAATGAATATTAATTTTTATTCCTGGTGAAACCGCAGATGCTAACCAAATTAACTTACTTCTCAAACTAAAGGAAGTAGCCTACTTACTATGGACTGCCAAGTATAGATGTCTATTCTTTTTAGTCAGACCCCAAAAAGGAGGACAAATTAACGTCCGGCTCGAGGTAGCGGAGGACAGGACACCCTAGTCACGATGTCAGCCACTCCGTACAACAAGTTCGTTATACCGGAAGAAGTACCAGTGAGGAGCCCTGAATTATATACTGTGTACTAACTGGAAAATTAATCTGTTTTTATGCATGTCTATATTTTGTTGACTTATGACCATTTTAAACGTTTACATCGCCCAGTTTATAAATTGAAACTGTAAATCATAAGCCATGCTGATGGAATAACATAATTATGGAATGAGATGCAACAATTTTAAAGCCTGCATTACATTTCCTTATTTCACTGCACCTTCCTACAAGATTTACATAATCTTTTTTTGTAATCATAGATAAAACTAAAATGCATGGTATATACTGTACACCAATAGGTATGGATTATCTCTTGAATTGGGTGTAAGTAATCTTGGGTATGACTTATGTCGTGAGCTGGGTACGAGATGACCCTAGCCAGTGCAGTTGGCGAGTTGTCCGGTCTTCTCGGACTATTCCTTGACACTGGGTCATGCAACTCGTTAACTTAGGGTGTGGTTGTTGTGTTGGTGACAGCTTCCACACCTTAAACAAATTCACGCCAAGGTGGCCCTTGGGCCGGCCATTCTCGATTTCGAGGGGGCAACTATTATAGTAAGATATGTGTCACCTGATGATGGTTTACCTATTGAACACTATCTGACTTTCCTGGAGCTAGAAAATCACAGTGGTGAAAGTATGGGTAACATGGTGGTGGATTATCTAAGAAAAGACTGCAAAGTTGACATTAGTAACTGCCAAGAACAGTCATATGATAATGCAGCTAACATGGCTGGTAAATATAATGAAATGCAGCAAAAAATTCTGGAGAAAAACAAGTATGCTATACTATATTCCATGTGCTGGACATTCACTGAATCTTGTTGGCCGTGCTGCAGTTGATTGCTGCTTAGTTGCAGTAAATTTGTTTGCTGTTGTGCAACAAATATACACTTTCTTCTCATCTTCTACAAAAAGATGGGCAGTTCTCTTATCATTCTTGAATGCAGATTCCAGAGTACCAAAATATCTATCTGACACTAGGTGGGAAGCACATGCAAAAGCTACTTCAGCCATAATTGAGAGTTATGAGTCAATTGTTGATGCTCTTGATCATCTCCATACTAGTGACAGTGAAAAGCACGATACAAGAAGACAAGCTGATAATCTTTTGGAGAAAATGGAGGAATTGGAGTTTGTTTTCATGCTGTACCCATGGAATCATTTGATGGATGAGTTTCACATCACTAGCAAGGCCCTTCAGGATCCAAAGATTACACTCAGCACATGCACCAAGCTTTGTACATCACTTTATCACTGTGAAAGATACTCGAAATCATTTTGATGATGTTGAACAAGAAGCAAAAAGCAGATTGCCTGATGTAGACTACAAGTGTATGAAGAAAATAAGGAGAGTGAGAAAGAAAACAAGTCAATGATGCTGCTCCTGATGCTGATGGATGCTCTTGAAACTACTGTAACTTGAAGAGAAGAACAACAGTTTACAATTATGCTGCGAGCAAGTTACCCGCTAAGTAAATCTAAGTTACTGAAGATGGCGCTGTCTTTTCCTAGTGACTGTAATAAGTCAGTCAGTTAGAACAGGCATTGGGAACCTGTCTGGTACAGTTGACTGGTCTCCATCCTCCATATTTCTTGGAACTAGGAATAAAGGTTAGTTCCATGGTGATGAAGTATGGATTACCTGTCCACCATGTCTTGTACTGTACTGTCTGCTGGACTACTGCCCTTCTGCTGTGGGGTAGCCTATGCTGTATGCTGGGGTGTTGTCATGGTTTTAATGTAAAGTTTAGGTGTGGATGTTATATAAGGTTATATTATATTTTGTTTCTTATATTTCTTACCGTAGAGTTCGATACCTTTACACTGGTTACTTACAGGAGATTATGGTGTATCTACATAGAATTCACTCCACCACTCGACATTCCATGATTTATACTTGATAAATGATGATTTAATGAGTTCCATTAATTTCCAACATCTGTGTAAGTTATTGGTTATACTTTGTCATAACCAATCAGTCATTACCTCAAGTAATAATAAGATAGGATCACAGATACGGGCAGATAATTGCACTTACATTTATTTTCAAGCTTCCATACAATGATTTACAATTTGCATGGATATATGAGTCACTCACATTCACGCTGTAATAAAATTAATCTTCTAAAAGAGGGAATTTTCAACTTGGGGACACATGTGATTACTCTACTATGGGTATGACTTTAACAGAGCCTTAATTCTTCAAGTGATACATTAATTGCCAGAGAAATTAAAAACTCGCAAAATTTGAGAACCTACTGTACAACATTTAACCCTTCAATATATCTTCAAAGAGACCACGAAGCAGTGAAAGTGGTGCTAGTGCTTCCAAGCGTAAGCACAAGTCACTATCTATCCAGGAAAAGGGTGAATTTCCATGGTCCGGCACCGGTCAGGTCCCGAAGTTGCCGGACTAGAGAGGTACAACCTGTAATATCTGTGTAAATATTCCTTTTTCTGCAAGAATTACATATACCATACTTCACATTTTCAGATATGAATTTATGTCCCATTGCACTGTTACTCCTTCCCATAGCTCTCCTTTATTTAATGATAACTTTTATCTGAGTATAAGAACATAAAATCTAATTCGGTATTAATGAAATTACACACGCAGTATATGCTAATTTTCTGTCGTGTTTTTATGAAAATGTGTTTGCACTCTTTAAAATTTAGGAGAAAGAAAATTAATAGCCTATTGATTGAGAATGTGGTTTTCATTATAGCCTTGTGCTTCAGATTTTCTAACAAACTTTGGAAAAATCATCTATTCTGTTGATGTTGTTCCTGGTAACATAATGAATTGATGTTTACCTCACTCTGCATACTCCACTATTGAGAAATCAAATGGTAAACTAAAAGAAACTATTAGAATTTTTTGTTTCATTCAGACAATACAATGTAACACTTGTACATGATATTAGGTGATAACATTATATTGTAGGTTTAACTTAGTACAGTAAAACACATTAGAGTGGCTACAATGATATTTACTGTATGTACAAAATAACATTACATTTATAAGTTCATGTCTTAATGTCTACAGATTCAGTGAAGCTTCCTAGTGAATCTACAGTAGATGTCAAATGGTGAAGCTGTCCTCTGAACCACACAAAACAGAAGTACAGACGCATGATGGTGAGCAAGATACAGGATTATTAGTACAACATGTTATTGTCAGTCAAATGATGTGTTTATAGAGTACTTTTGTGACAATATTAATTAAATATTCTACAATCCTTAATGTAATGGCAAAACAATATATGCAGTAACATAAAAGGATTAATGAAATATATTAAAGCCATAAATCCAATAGTACAGTATTGTCTCGATTTACGTGTTTGGTCATTTACGCGGCACCTGGCCAGACCGACAATTTTTATTTACTCGGTTCATTCCATCATTTATGCGGTTCATTCCATCATTTTCGCGGTTCATTCCATCATTTTTGCGGTTCATTCCATCATTTACGCGGTTCATTCCATCATTTACGTGGTTCATTCCATCATTTACGTGGTTCATTCCATCATTTACGCGGAGAGCGGCGCGAGCAGGGTGCACACAAGGTTGCCCAGTCAAAAAAAAAAAAACATTACCGAGTTCTTCACCCGCCACCCACCACAGCCGGCTCAAATCAGTGATAGTGAGGATATGGACTTTGAGGGGTTTGAGAAAGAGGCCCTGCAAGCCTATGTGGTGGATAGTGATACAATTGATACAAGTGATACAGGTGAGGGCCAATAATCTGCCCTTTGCCTCGGAACCAACCCCCCCCCCCCATCCCTGTGTGCCCAGCCATCTTTTCTACTAATGTAAGTGTTAAAAAACCTAATATTATTGATATTTCTCTTAAATATTAATTGTGTGTGCATACCATCATGAAATTAAGATGTAATTTTTACTACAACGTAGGTATTGTGTCTGAAAAAGTTGAGTTTGGGAGTCGGCCCAGTCTCTATTTCATTTGATCCCATATGTTCTGTTGTTTCGTTTACGCGTTTCTCGTTTTACGCGGACCTCCACGGGTTCAATTGACCGCGTAAATGAAGACTATACTGTATATTGAAATGAGATTGGGTGGACATCCCCCACAGATATCAGTTTAGCTTTAGAGTCATACATGAGATTGGGTGGACATCCCCCACAGATATCAGTTTAGCTTTAGAGTCATACATGAGATTGGGTGGACATCCCCCACAGATATCAGTTTAGCTTTAGAGTCATACATGAGATTGGGTGGACATCCCCCACAGATATCAGTTTAGCTTTAGAGTCATACATGAGATTGAAGGCCAATTGCTAGGATTAAAAGGTTATGCATTATCATTCAACAATTGTAATGTGCTGTACTAACTGTGAATTTTAAAGATGTATCAACAAGATTGTGACATGATTACTTTGCTCTGATTTCTTATTTCAGGTACAGCTGCTCCCCGACTTACAACGGGGTTAGGGACCCAAATCCAGGTCGTAAGTCGAAAATGCAAAAAAATAATGAAATACAGTACAGTAAAAGTAATCAATAATGAAGAATGAATACAGTGTTACTTTGCACTTACCTTTAATGTAGTCAGCTGAATGCATGGAGACTACATTAACTACTTGAAGCAGAGGAGGAGACAGGGCTGGGTGGGTCATCAATGTCGCTTTCTTCAGACAGGTTAACATACAGGGGGAATCTTGCTGGTTGAAGGTATTGGATTATCTTTAGGGAGTGACGAGGCAGCACTGGTGGGGCGTGAGGAGACAGCAGTGGGGGACTTCTTAAAATATATGTCCAATTCAGATTGCACAGTTTGCTTTTTCTTTTCATTGTAAATCTCCTTGTCGCAAGCAAGTGCATCTTGGATCATTCTGTGAACTTTTGCAAAACGCTCAACATTTTGATCCATTCCGTCAAACATTTGCATCCCCTGATTAATAGTAGCACATGCTGCTGCCATTTGTTTCACTGAAAAATTTTTGGGGGTGCAGGTTCTTCTTCTAAATTTTTACTCTCTTCTTCCTCTGCATTTTTGTGTGCTTCCAGTTCGATAAGATCCTCGTTACTTAGCTCTTCTACTACACTTTCAACCAACTGTTCAACATCTTCATTATCAATTTCGAACTCAAGTTGTTTACCCAACTCCACTATCTTGTTACTAATCGCAGAAATTACTTCATCTTCATTAAATCCTCTGAAACTGTTCACATATCTTTCCAGGACTTTCTTCCATATTCCATTCAGGCACTGACCTGTAACCTCATCCCATGCTGCAGCTATGTTCTTTATACATTTCAAAATGGTGTAGTCCTTCCAAAACTCTCTGAGCGTTTTCTCTCCTTCAGTAGCAGTGTCATGGGTTGCGTTGGGCCTCCCGCACAACCCATCCCAAATGTTTGTTTACGGTAGAGATAAAGCAACCGGCCAGCCATAACTGGGACATATGTTTTCCATTAGTGGTATGTTAGCCAGCCGATAGGGGGGCAGGTCAGTGAGACAGTGTCGTACTCTTCATCATTTCACGCCTCAAAACCACATTTTAGCCAGTGGGCCTTAGACCTTGGGTTACGGAAGACCTCCTGCTCCGCGGATTTAGAACAGGGGCCATACAGACCTACCAGTGCTACGAGTCTGTGTGTGCAAATCCCCGAGATTGTTGTTTAGTCCAGCGACAAGTTCACACATCATGTAAAGGAAGTGATCAATGGTGAGGGCCTGTTTGCTACAAGAGCACTCCAGGCCGGCCTAATAGATCTAAACGATTAATTCTCCAGGTTGACAAACTCTCCCTTATAACTTACGGTACTGTGGCGTGAATGTGAGTGGCTGACCTATCCATGCAAATTATAAGTCCAGTGTATGGAATTGTGCCAAATAAACGTAAGTGCAATCATCTGCCCGTATCTGTGATCCCTCTATTATTATTATTATTACCAAAGGTAATGACTGATTGGTTATGACAAAGTATAACCAATAACTTAGATGGATGTTGGAAATTAATGGAATTCATTAAATCATCATTGATCAAGTACACAACGCATTGAATGCCGGAAGCAGAGTGAAATTCTACGTAGTGATACACCATAATCTCCTGTGTGAGTTACCAGTGTGAAGGTATCCGAGTTCTACGGTAAGAAAACCACTTTCTTGCATTTAAAACGTAACAATTGACGCCCGAACAGGGACTCAGACAGTGGATAATTGCACAATTGTATCGCCCACACCTACACCATGTCAGCTCGTGCAGCGGCTTTTGAGGAAGCACATGACCTCGGGCTGGAGGGGGCTGAGGCGGTTGCATACATGGAGAAGGCTGAGGAGAGAGAAGACAAGGCTGAGGAGAGAGAAGACAAGCGACACGAGCATGAAGAACTCTTAGCCGAACTAGACTTTCAGAAGGAAGAAAAGAAGCTGGAACGAGAAGAGAGACAAATGGAACGGGTGTTCCAAATGGCCTTAGCGGAAAGGAACCAAGACATCACTTATAAGAAATTTCCCCAGATGCCCACCTTTAAGGAGGGCGAATCCATGGAAATGTACATTTCCTGGTTTGAGCATTTCGCAGAAGCCTACGAGCTTGATGACAGCAGTAAGGAATATGAGTTCCTGAACCTATTTGATGGGAAAGCTTTCGGGATTCTTCGACAACTAGAGCGTCCTGAAAATAAATTCCCTGATATGAAGTCTGCACTGCTGCGGGCATATGGGCTGACTACTGAGCAGGCCAGGCATCAGTTCAACAGGGCAATGTTGGAAGAAAATGAAACGGCTGCACAGTTCCGGGATCGTTTAAGGGACTATGTGGCTCAGTGGATGAGTAAGGATGAAACCCCCAAGTCCATGGAAGGGGTTATAGACTTAATGGTGCGCACGCAGTTTGAAAGGTCTTGTCCTCCTGAACTTGTGGATCAAATCAGGGCTAATGGAGTTAAGACGTCGAAGGAAATGGCAAGCACAGCAGACGCTCATTTCAGCGCTTTCGGGTACCACACTCGGAGGCGGTGGTCGAGCAGGGAGTCGGCAGGTTACCAACAAAGTCAACAACCTCTACAGAAACAGCCACCGAACTCACCCAGGCAACAGGGAAATAACCAGCAACCACAACCGCAAAGACAGCAACAGAAACAGCAGCAGAAGCAGTACCAAGGCCACCCGAAGTATTAGGACAGTTGGCACCCGGGCAACAATCCACGATGGGACCGGCGGCAGGAAGCCGCCGATGTTCAAACTGTGGGCGGCCTGACCTTCCAGCAGGGCCGATCGTCATGCAACCTGAAGCAGGGATTCATACCGAATCAGGTCTACCCCAACACACCTACTGACTAACTGCCACCTCCAACCTCTCCTCGAGGGGTCACTCCACTTTTCTTGTTAAGCCTGGATATGCTGGAGGAGTTCCAGTGACTGCCATGCGAGATAGTGGGGCATCAGGCTGTATTGTCAGGAGGGAATTGGTGGGGCAACATCAATACACCGGAGCACAAGTAAGTGTTAAATTAGCCAATAGTTACATTCAAACGGTTCCAGTGGCCAAGATTGAGGTGGACACCCCCTTCTTCTCAGGTTGGGTCACTGCAGCAGTCATGAGGGAACCTATATATGATCTCATCATTGGGAATATCATGGGAGCAAGAAACAGTTGTGCAGTGGATGCTGCAACCCAAACTGATGCTGCCGCTTTGCCCCAAGTTAATGCTGCTGCAGTCACTCGGGGTATGGCTCAAACAAAACCTCGAGTCACCCCATTGGCTATTGCCACATCGTCTGATCTCATCAATAGTCAGGATGTCGTCCAAGAGCAAGAGCATGACAGCACGCTCACTTCGGTACACAAGAGTTTGATGGTTGGGACCATCAAGGAGACATTTGGGAATCGAACGAGGTTCGTAAAGAAGAGGAACCGTCTCTACCGAGTGACTGTGACGTCTCTGGGTGAAACACGACTGCAGTTTGTGGTTCCTTCCAAGTACTGCCTGGCTGTGTTCAAGCTAGGTCATTGCACTGCTCTTGGCGGCCATATGGGTAAAAAGAAGACCTTTGATCGCACCAGTGCAGCGTTCTTCTGGCCAAGGATGGGCCAGGAGATCACCAGGCTAGTCCGCTCTTGTGATGTGTGCCAGAAAACCAGTGATCGAGGGCGAGTTCCGCCTGCACCACTACGGCCCCTCCCACTGATCTCTGAACCCTTTGAGAGGGTGGGGGTGGACATTGTAGGGCCGATAAACCCAAGGGCGAGCGATGGGGCAAAGTATATTCTCACCTTGGTGGACTTTAGCACGAGGTGGCCCGAGGCTGTGCCCTTGAGGAACATTGAGGCCACGACTGTTGCAGAAGCCATGTTGGAAATCTTCTGTCGGGTTGGTATTCCCAAACAAGTCCTCAGTGACAGGGGAACCCAGTTTACTTCTGCCATGATGGAGGAGTTGATGCGGTTGTTATCGGTAAAGGGGCTAAAGACAACACCCTATCATCCGATGTGCAACGGACTCTGTGAGAGGTTTAATGGGACGCTGAAGAAAATGCTCAGGAGGATGGCAGCCGAACAACCTAAGGAGTGGCCACGCTACATTGCCCCACTTCTGTTCGCGTACCGGGAGGCGCCACAGAGCTCGCTCAAGGTGTCTCCCTTCGAGCTTATGTACGGCAGGTCCGTCCGGGGACCACTACAGGTTCTTCGGGAACTGTGGGATGATGAGGAATCAGATCCGGAAGTCAAGACCACTTATACATATGTCATTGACTTAGCTGATCGTCTCCAAGAAACCTGCCAACTGGCAAAGCAAGAGCTGATAAAGGCTCAAGAGGTCCAGAAGACTTACTATGACAAGAAGGCCAAGCTTCGTTGTTTCAAGCCAGGTGATCAGTGCCTGGTTCTGTTGCCTATGATGCGCAATAAGTTACTGGCTCAGTGGAAAGGTCCATTCGACATTGCAGAGCGTGTCTCGGATCTGACTTACATCGTCCAGGTGGGATCTCGACGAAAGAAGTTCCACCTCAACATGCTGAAGAAGTACTTCCAGTCGCCGATCGGGGGTACAGTCTCCACTGAGGAAGACAGGGACGAGCCTTCCCAGTGTGATTCAGGGGTAACTTGTGCTGCCACAGTGATCTCTGACAGTGATGAGGAGGATGGGCCTGTCACTGCACGCTCCCGCCAGAGTGAGACTTTCACAGAAGTTGAGGTGAACGGAAATCTATCAGCAGAGGAATGAGATGCCATCGGTTCTCTGTTGCATCGCTACATGGACATCTTCTCTGATAAGCCAGGAGTTGCCTGGGTCGACTGTCACACTATTGAACTGACCAGCCCTACACCTGTTCGGGTAAAGCCCTATCCTATACCTATGCGACTACTGGACACTGTCAAACAAGAAATTGAGGTAATGGAAGCAGTGGGAATCATCGAGAAATCGTCTCCATACTGTAGTCCTATGGTAGTCGTCCAAAAAAAGGATGGGGGTGTCAGGATCTGTGGGGATTATAGGAGAGTCAGTGCCA